CATCTTTTTTGCCCTTTCCATAACTCGGTTTACCTGTTTTTCTCTTTCTCTTTGACTATCCGCCGATAATTTTCGAAAACAGGAACAATAATATAGATCCGATGAGATACGGTAAAAATTCGCCTCGCTGTAATAATAGCCTTTTCTTACTTTTTCAATTATCGAGTTTTTTCGCTATGCGACGCAAAGTTGTTTTATATTTGCTTAGACGATTTTTTTCAGTGCATTCGAGCGGAACGTTACCCTTGAAAGTATTGAAAACGCACTCGCAGATACAACGAATGAATTTTTCGTCCGCCTGGCGTAAGAAAGAGACGCGCTGATTTTTGTTCAAATAACACAGCGCTTTGAGAAGACAGATATTTTTCTTACCGATCGAACGTTCTGCGATTTTTCTCGCATTAACCGATGACGTTCTCTTCTTCATCGCGAAGAAGTTGCGCGACTGTCACGAGAGAATGCAAGTACGATACTTTTATATGAAACTTCCGGAAAAGGATCTGCGCGGTAGTTCGCCGTATCATTGGGAAATATGCACGTGCGAAAACGATACTCATCGGGAGTCAATTGTTTCAAATTGAGCAATAAATATCCGTAAGATTGAGACGTGACATGCTTCCTCAAGAAATTTTGAATCGGATAGACTTGACGAGCGAGATAACGAATTTGCGATCTCGTGGATTTTTGAAAACCACAAAGTAATTCGCGTTGATAGATATATCGCGTTGTCTACGCCCCTGATGAAAGAGATTTTGCGTGATGAGAATTACGCTGAGATTCTTATGATGACTTCCCTTGGTAAACAGATCATTTCGCTCGAGGACGCTTCCCTCATAAGATCGTCAATTATTATCAATTTCGGGATGGATTGTTAAAATAATCTTCCGGACGTGCTAATCCCTCGTGAAATTCGATTACGGAATCTCGAGTTTCGTATTGAAGCTGCTGATAAGCATCCTGCTAGTCGGCGTAATAAAACAAAATTCTCTCAAAACGAACATCTGACATAACGGGTAAATGACAAAGAAATCTCTTTACAAAGATTATTTTCCCGCATCCCGTCGGTCCGCACACGATCGACGTCCACAGATATTTCCAGTACACATCCATTTCACGAAATGAAAAAATGACGTCTTATACGTCGTACTTAGTTTAATAAACAATAGGATTGGACATTTGAGATTCTTGATTTTTTTCTTAGAGTAAGATTAGTATATTCACGGAAGGACCCCTCCGCGGGAATATGCTCGTGCCAGCATCTTTGCGTAACGAGCTCATATTCGAGCGCGACAAGCTTCGCTCATACGAGGGTAGTCTGAAAAATTTTGAGCCTAACATAAAAACAAGTATTTTTTCGGTCAAATATAGTTTTATTTTTCAATAATCTCCTTTTAAGTCGATACACTTTTCCTATCGATACTCTAACCTCTTTAATCCCTCCAAATAGTAGTGGGCGTCTTGCTCCGCAAAATAGGCGTTTACGTATGATAGGCGTTACCTCCTCGTTCGATGAAAATCTCTGTCCTCCAAGCGGAACTTTAAGCTTAGGAAACAGGAAAAAATCGCTGGGGGCCAGATCTGGTGAATACGGTGGGTGGTTAACCAATTCGCAGTTCGTGAATTTTGGCCATGGCGACCACCGAAGTGTGAGCAGGTGCGTTGTTTTGATGGAACAGCACTTTCTTCTTCTTCAAATGCGGCCGTTTTTTTGCAATTTCTGCCTTCAGCTTATCAAGTAATACGCTCCCGTTATTGTTTACCTTTTTCAAGATACACACAATTCCGTGACTATCCTAAAAAACAGTCGCCATTACCTTCCCAGTTCCACTGTTTTGACTGTTCTTTTGTCTCTGGAGTGTAGTGGTGGATCCAAGTTTCATCTACAGTTATGAATCGACGCAAAAAATCTGACTCGTTTTGCTTGAACCGCTCCAACAGGGCCTTGGAAATGTTCATTCGAATTCGTTTTTGGTCCAAAGTGAGCAAGCGCGGCATCCAACGCGCGGATAGCTTGCGCATATCCAATTCTTCAGTCAATATATGACAAACGCGTTCTTTTGATATGCCTATAGCCTCTGCTATCTCTCTAATCTTGATTCGACGGTCGTTCAGTACCATTTGGTGAACATTTTCGATATTATCAGCGGTGGTCGCAGTTTTTGGCCGTCTCGAACACTCATCATCAGCCAAGCTGGTACGACTACGTTTAAATTCAGCTGCCCATCTTTTTACAGTGGCAAATGATGGAGCAGAGTTCCCGTAAACCGCGTCCAACTCGATTTTAATTTGCGCAGGCGTATTGCTTTTCAAACAAGTAAGAATTTAATCACGGCACGATGTTCAATTTTTTCCATTTTTACAAAAACACTGACATCGACTGACACAAACGACTGTCAAACAACAACTGAGCGTCCAAAATGATTGAAATTTTCACAAAAGTCTTTCAAAGCATATACTATTGTAGTACTAGAATGGTTTTGATGAGTAACATCATCTTCATTAAGGTTCAAAACTTTTCAGACTATCCTCGTACGCTTGTACGAGCGTCCACCGCGAAAGCATCGACACTAACGAGCTTGTATGCGGTGCTCTTCGAAAGCTAATTCAAGCCGAAGAAATTTGTTCGCGGAAAAAAGTGATTGAATATTTATTTGCGGACGTAAAATTTTATACTTTTTTCTTTTACAAAATATTTTAACGCGATTCTCTATCGAAAATTCAAAATTTTTTCTGTATAAAAAATTAATTTTAAAAGAAATATAGTAATTATAGTAATGTGAGGAAAATAGTAATTGGGAGTTTAAGAAATTTAATTTTACAAAAGGTTATACTTTTTCTTATAATTAGAAAAATAAATATTTTTATTACATTTTCTCTTAATAATTAAAAGTAAACACAAATTTACATTTTTAATTTTACAAAACATTTTCTAATCGAAATTTCAAATAATAAACATTTTTTTAATTACATTTTTCTCTTAAATTTAATAACTAAAATAAAAATAAAATATAATAAACTTAATTTTTACAAATATATTTATTTGGTATACATATTTATATTTGCACGAGGATGAGGGAGATCCGGGCCTTAACCTAATTTAATTTTAAGTAAAATATTATATTACGTAAAACCGTACGGATAAGAAAGGTGATTATCGATAAATCTGCGTTTTAATAAAACTGAAGCATATTTTTACTTCGTTTCGTTATTATCTCGTGAAACGCGGTGCAACGAATTGTTTTAAATCGCAGATTTATCTCTTCTCTCTTCTTTCCCTTAATTTAATATTAAATATAATTTATTATTAAATATTTAATAATAAATTATAAATACTTTAAAATTAAACATCCACAAGTTTCAAAATTTAATTTAATCCCCTTTATCTTACATGTTTTATATTTACGTCCGTCCGGTATACGTACGCATAAAATTTCGGTTCGTCAGATACAAACGTCTTGATGAAGCTATTACATCCGTAACTCTCGAGTTCGTCAGTCATATCACCCAAAAAATTACCTGTACGCGGTTCGTACTCGTTGGAATCACCGCTGCTCGTATATATACAAGAATCTGTATCATAATATAATACGCGACGGTCTAATTTTTCCAAATACTCGTATAACTTTAAACGCGCCTGTGCCGTCGTGTAAACCGCTATCACCACGTTTAGTTATTGGTGAAGGTACTACCGCTTCGCTCTTTAACCGCCATGAAACATATATTGCATTCTCGTTGACGAGCAATATGCCGACTATTTCGTGTTCCGGCTTGAAAACAATTCGGCGAAACGTTGAGGATTCTTATTATTTCCGTATTCGGCAAGCTACTTCGCTGGCCGAATTTCCCCCAAAATGAATTAAGAGTTTGGCGACGGAGCGTAAGTCGGAATTACGTACGATATTGTTTTTATCGAAAATGATATCTTCGGTTGCTTCATACTTTCTCAGATAACGTTCTTTAGCAACATCGTCGTTCTCGCACTCGCTCGGCCACCCTTCTCGCCTTTTGTTTTAATTGTAAAAAGGTATTGATATATCCGGCAAACAATTCTCCCTGTCGCGTTTCGGGATTATATCGCGTGGATTTGTATTGCCAAATCTCATCTACCCGCGTCATGAGATATCCTTTTTCGATTGCTTTGCATAATTCACAAGACATCCATGTGCCCTCGAACTCACGCTCCGTAGGATCGTCGTGACTACACGCATCTCGAGAAAATGTTTCATAATATGTACGGCAAAGAGGGAATAATAATTTACCGCGTACGCGATACGGCATTACCGGATGGAAAAGATTGTGGGGAGAGTACTCGGCAACGTACGAGACTGGACTGAAATTAAAATTTGATACAATTGCAATTAAATTATTGCATTCCTCGCCTACATAAATATCTGAATGACCGATTGGAAAAACTCAATTCTTGAGTATGCACGGATACAGAGAACATACAACTACGTAGCGTATTTTCTCGGTACCCGAAACCTCATATCGAATCGCAATATTGCCGATGCGTCCACCAAAAAATGCATCACGAGGACGAAAGATGAGATTTGTACTATAGGGTGATTCTCAAGAAATTCTCGTGTCTCTCGATTGTCGTATATTTCTTCGTCAAAAATGCACTCCCATTTTTTCGTCAGGATATATTCCTGCTGACATAACCGCCAAGACCGTTACAACCGTTCGTTCATAACGCGCGTCAAACGCGAACTTGTAATAATTCTGTTATTCGAGAAAAGTTTTTCCTTGAAAAAGAGCAGAGACAAAGCGAAAAGATGCGAAGAGAGTTTCTTCTAGAATCTTTGATTTGACTGCATATTATTTATAAAATATATTTTTTTTATTTATTTCGAAGGGAAGAAAAGATGCTATATTGCTGTACATATCAGTACATTGCTTCACTCGAGTATCGACATTCGAAGCGTCCACTTCGAAAATATCCCTCCAAGTTTTCCTTTGTTAAAAGTGAACATTTATTCAAAATTCTCTCGTCAAGTAATATGGCCGGACAACAAGAAGCTGCGAATCCCGCTAAACTACAAAATATTCGTAAGATAACTCTGTGCAAAATGTGCAACAAAATTTGTTGCTTTCTACAACGTATCCTTTCAATATCTCTCATACGAAGAAATTACACGTGAGATTACAATCATCTAAGGAGAGTATCTTCGAACCTGTCATCAAATTGAGTAATTCTGCAGAAGGAATCAGCTTTGATCCGAACACGTGGCAAAAATTTCAAGAGAGTATTCAGGACAGCGCATACTTTAACAGAAGCAATAAAAGCAAAGTAAATCCTATTACATTTGCAAACCTATTCATCAACTTCACCTCTGCCTACAGAGCGAAAACTACGAGAGTAGTCTGAAAAGTTTTGAGCCTTAACATGAAGATGACATTACTCGTCAAAACCATTCTAGTATTACAATAGTATATGCTTTGAAAGACTTTTGTGAAAATTTCAATCATTTTGGACGCTCAGTTGTTGTTTGACAGTCATTTGTGTCAGTTGATGTCAGTATTTTTGTAAAAATGGAAAAAATTGAATATCGTGCCGTGATTAAATTCTTACATTTGAAAGGCAATACGCCTGCGCAAATTAAAATCGAGTTGAACGCTGTTTACGGGGACTCTGCCTCCATCATTTGCCACCGTAAAAAGTTGGGCAGCTGAATTTAAACGTGATCGTACCAGCTTGGCTGATGATGAGTGTTCGGGACGGCCAAAAACTGCGATCACTGCTGATAACATCGAAAATGTTCACCAAATGGTACTGGACGACCGTCGAATCAAGGTTAGAGAGATAGCAGAGGCTATAGGCATATCGAAAGAACGCGTTTGTCATATATTGACTGAAGAATTGGATATGCGCAAGCTATCTACGCGTTGGGTGCCGCGCTTGCTCACTTTGGACCAAAAATGAATTCGAATGAACATTTCCAAGGCCCTGTTGGAACGGTTCAAGCGAAACGAGTCAGATTTTTTGCGTCGATTCATAACTGTAGATAAAACTTGGATTCATCACTACACTCCAGAGACAAAAGAACAGTCAAAACAGTGGACTGCAAAGGGTGAACCTGCTCCGAAAAAGGTGAAGACGGTTCCATCAGCTAAGAAGGTAATGGCGACTGTTTTTTGGGATAGTCACGGAATTGTGTGTATCGACTATCTTGAAAAAGGTAAAACAATAACGGGAGCGTATTGTGCATCATTACTTGATAAGCTGAAGGCAGAAATTGCAAAAAAAACGGCCGCATTTGAAGAAGAAGAAAGTGCTGTTCCATCAAAACAACGCATCTGCTCACACTTCGGCGATCGCCAAAATGCACGAACTGCACTTTGAATTGGTTGATCACCCATCGTATTCATTAGATCTGGCCCCCAGCGATTTTTTCCTGTTTCCTAAGCTTAAAGTTTCGCTTGGAGAACAGAGATTTTCATCGAACGAGGAGATCATCGCATACGTAAACGCCTATTTTGCAGAGCAAGACGCCAACTACTATTTGGAGGGGTTAAAGAGGTTAGAGTATCAATGGGAAAAGTGTATCGACTTAAAAGGAGATTATGTTGAAAAATAAAACTATATTTGATCGAAAAAATACTTGTTCCTATGTTAGGCTCAAAATTTTTCAGACTACCCTCGTATATTGGTGACGTAAGGAAAATTAAAATTTTCCTAAAGAAAGCAGTACTGGAAGTACGCAAGCAGACTCGAAAACGGAGGAACAATCACTGTCGGAAAAAAGGAAAACTGACTCCGGTGCAGTTGTAATGCAGTAAGCTACTTTTCAAGAAATAGAGAATATCATCAAATGTGTCGATACTCGTATAAACCAGCTATATCTGTCGTCGATACTGTTAACAAGTGCGTACGTTATCTGATCAAGGAGATAGAACTATGTCTACCTAACAATTACATTGACGCCGATATCATCAAACTCACTCCGAGGCAACTAAAAGGATATTGAACTTGCTGTGAGAACGCAAATAAATAATTTGTCATTTTTGGATACATATTTTAATATTGTATTTGTAGAATTAATTACACTAAAATTTAAAAAAATTACTATATAATTTTAATGAATCGAGAGTTACAATTTTTGTATATAATAACTAAATCATGTATTTAATTTTGTAACAAAACATATTCATATATATGTGAAAAATGTACAATAAATTTAGCTTATACTTGATAACAAAATTCAAATTTACGTCGTTTCTTTATCTTTTCCTTTATCCTAAATTTTTTACGACTCCTTCCCTTTTCTGAAAGCCATTTACGCCTGCACGAATGTGTTTTCCTATAATCTCCTACTATCTCTATGCTTTTCTGACTCACACATATCTCTCTCTCTCTCTCTCTCTCTCTCTCCCCCCCCTCTTCAGTATCCCAAAGTTATCATTGCGTCCAAAGAAAATTTTTTCAGCTTGCATGTTTGTCATAGGATAAAAACCTCGTATAACTCCAAGTTCGTCGTCGTCAGAAATTTTTAGTGCGAACCTATCCATTCCTGTTTTCCTCTCCTAAATACCATATGATTCCGTAAATAACTCTAACGATTATTACACTCCGAAAACTCCTCATCTTCAAAACGTTTATACATTTCCTCCATACAAAAAATGTCAAATTTCTCGAGAAATTTAAATTCGTTAGCTATGAGGCGCCAAGAAATCTTTCGTCCTAAGAAAACGTGATTTATCATATCCCATATATACATAATAAAACTCGCAAAAAATTAATTTCCTTCTCCTCGTTCCATCCCTCGTGTTCTAAAAATCGCATTCCATTCTCGTCAAGTATATTCTTTTCACACACCCGTCATCTTTCTTTTTGCAAACGCCATTTTATTTTCGAACCCTGAGTGGTCCCACTTTCTCCCCTTTCCCCTACTTTTTCGTCTGATATTTCGACAATCAATCACATATGGAGCACTATGGGCAGAGCCAATCATGCGCCGGACAGCTATGGGAGCAGCCAATCAGAACGCTCCCACTAATTATCTAATTATCAACTGCCACGCCCACCGATCAATCAGAACGTTCCATTTCCACGTGACTGAGTTTTTGACAGCGGGAGGCCACGCCCTTGGCGCCAGTGGGAAAGTGGTTTGTTTTGATGGGCCATGGCTACTCATTTACTACTTAATCGATAGCTGAGTATCAAATTATACAAGAAAAGTGTTTTTGTTTTTTTCTTCGTGTTCTACGAACTGAAATATTGCTACGCAATCGCGACGCAAAGTTCAAAAAATTTTAAGAAACGTAAATTTTAAAAAATGTCCTTGTCGTCGTCGATCGTAGCTTTTCTGTCGCAAAAAGTGCTAATGAACATCTCTGTACGACAGCTCTTGCAGCGCTCATTTTTTTTTATATGTCTTTGACAGATGATCTTTCGTGTGAAGTTGTATGTATTGATTAATAAAAAGAAGATGTAACGTGTGTTACATATAATAGTAAGTAATATATAATACATTGAAAAAATAGTCAAATCGGTCCAAAATAAATAATTTTACATTAAATTGTAAGAAAATATTAACTAAAATTAATTTATATCAAAATGTATCAATTATATAAATATATAAATAATTATATAAATATATAAATAATTATATAAATATATAAATAGTTATATAAATATATTTACTTAAATGTATTAATGGTATTATTATCCACAATCATGATTTATAAGAAATATAATAATGAAATATAATATTAGAAATATAATATTTCTAAAAATGTTAATTAAAAAAAAATCTTATAATTTTTTAAAATAATCTTATAATTTTTTAAAAATGACGTTCATCAGCCAGAAAAATATTTCTTTGCACTATTACTTATGTTTCAATCATGGCGGAGACTAGATGATCTTAAAAATGGATGTGACATCTACAAAGAATTATTTCACAAAATTAAATTAGATCTTGTAGAAGCATTACAATACGAAAAATTAGAAGAATTGAAAACGACATTTGAAACTCTAAAACAGTTAGTTCAGGAATATCTGAACTATAGATAATGAATTGCAAAAACAACAGGATGCATTTCAAGATGAAATACAATAGGTATGCAAAACGAAGAAGCGAGTGAAATCATGTAAGATTTTAAAGATCTTGGAGCTAAAATTAAGCCAGCAATACATAATACTTTTTTCCTACTGGTACATTCTTTTAGATCTGTACCAATCAAAGATAACAGCTCAGTAAACACGCGAATCCAGCTAGCAAACCAGCAGAAGAAAAAGTATCGTGTGCTACTGGCTTTAAAAAAGAAGATATTTTTGAAATGATAATAAAATTAAACACGAATCAAAAGAGAGTATTTGATAAAATTATTGTAAAAGTGGTACTCGGGCGCGTCAAGTTTTTGTATGTCGTTTTTTTTTCTTACACATCAAATTTTCTTTTATATATTATTTTTATATAAACACAAGTACAATAATTCAATAAAATTTTTTGGCAACTACAAATTGACGTTAATTTTGGATTAATAACATCTTTTTTTATCTTTGCAAAGTTTCTTTTCTACTTTATGATTAAAAGTTTTTGATATTATGTTTTTTGTAGAAATAATGAAACGACTTTTCAAATAAAAATGAACTACAAAATAAGTTGTATTTCATTGTAAAATTCTTTTCATTTTATTAAATTAGAAATTGGCATCAGTTCTTGATATCACATCTTTTGTACCAATAAAATTTATTAAAAAGGTTTTTGTAGATGGAAATTTTTGTATAAAATTATTTCTTTTACATAAATAAGAAAAGGGGCGCGTGAACTTGACTGACGTTATTTTTTACTTTTTTTAAAAGGTAATTTTGTTAGGACAAATGAATATCACAATCATGTGGCCTCCTTAATACTTAACAACTTTTATCTGAAGCTTTTTTTAAAATTACATTTCTTACGAAAGATTCGATTGTATCCACTTTTGGCACATCCTGTATACATTTATTTATATTTTTTACATATAGGTTTTATATATTTCTTATATCAATTCATATTTATGGAGATAAATTTATAAATAAATTTATAAATAAGTTTATTAGATATATAAATCGCGAATAATATGTCTAGATTATATCTAGATGTCTATCATTATACATATACTTACATTATATCAAATACATGTTTTTTACATATAATACGTATAGTACTTTAGTTTTAATGTTTCATATTTATATTTATGTTTTTCAGATGTATGTTACATTACATTTACTAGACAATTTTTATTAAAAGCGCTTGAAAATGTTTATTTGTTATAATTTTTAAATGTATACTATTATACAATACAAAAATTATATATTTTTTATCCTTAATCATTAATGTATATTATACCATATTTATATCAATGAGTATATTATACCATATTTATATCAATGAGTATTTAATGTTTATTATAATATTAATATAATAATATTAATATAATAATAAATATATTTATATTAATATAATATAATAATAAATATGTTGTTTAATATTAATATAATAATAAATATGTTGTTTTCAATTATAGTTTCCCGCGAGAGCAACAGACTTTGCCGAATCATTTCTACTTCACAGATTTCGAGAGGCATACTGCTGAGATTGCCTCTTTTCATCTAGACAGGTAATATTATGTTTAACTCATATATATCTTTTTTTTATAAAAGTTTTGTATGTTTTTAAATGATTATACTAATATTCAAGATAAAATCGATGACATATTTGCGAATGATCAAATATTAAAAAATCAAATGTTCGTAACTTCATTTCAATTTTATTGCCATTAAAGTTTTATCAACTTTTCTTATCACATTGAATACTCAAACATTGAATGTGTTTCATACAGAGTCCAAATTCAATAATCACCATACTATCGTTATGAACAAATAGTTGATAAAGCTCTTAGCTGATAAAGCAAAAATTTATTCATCAACTAACAAATATAAATATAACAAAAAGATAAATGACTTGATAAAAGGATAAATGAGAATAAAACAATAATTTTGTTTCTTATAAAATAATTTGTAGCATAATATAATTTTAATATAATTTTAATAATAAAAAAACTTTTTCATTTTTAAATTTTCGTAAATTTAACATTAAACAATTTTTTTAAATTAATTTTTTTCATTTACAGACTTTTAGGGTTTCGCAGAGCGATGCCAGTGATCGGTCGGACTCTCAATATTACAACAGAAATTTATGAAATTGCTGACGGTGAACTACTTAAAACATTTTTCGTGAGTCCAGCCGGCAATTTATGCTTTCATGGCAAATGTAGTTACTATTGTGATACCGCACACGCAGTTTGTGGTAGTCCCGACACTCTAGAGGGTAGTTTTGCTGCCTTTCTACCAGATAAGGTTCTTGCAGCTAGGAAAGCCTGGCGTCATCCTTGGCGCAGAAGTTATCACAAACGAAAGAAAGCACAGTGGGAGCATGGTAAGATACATCACATACAATGTATCTTTTTTCAAGAAGACACTGCTTTAAAGAATTAGTATGGAATAAATATAAAATTCTAAAACAAATGACAATATGTTCTTTTTTATATTTCTGTATTATGATTACTACACTTAAAATAACTGTCATTTTTCATTATACTCTTTTCTATTAATACTTCTATTAATACTTTCTATTAATACTTTTCTATTAATTTCATCCAATTATTTTATTTTTTATTGTATTTTATTGTTATTGTTACATTGTAATTGACATTAACAAATATCTACATGCTTAAAATATTAACTAGTAATTACTTTCTCCTTTTTAATATAATATAGACGTTATTTCATCAGTTTATCAATTAGATAATATATAATATAAATATATTTCTATTTAATATAAAATGATCCACCAATTTGCTGATATTACAACAATAAAAAATAATAATTTATTGATATTTTTAAGAACATACAGCACGATACATGTAAAAGCGTGCGAATTTTGTGTGAAATCGAGGCGCAATAATAATATCGATGTAGCGCGAGCTCTCGAATCGCAGGTCACAAATCGATAGTTTGTTAAATTATAATAGTCTTGCGATCACAATAGGCGAACGATCTCGCGATATTTCGTATGCTTACTAATTGACTCGCAGTCTGGGCTAACCCCGCGGGCGTGTTCCATATAACGCGTTGACACTGTAGAATGCAGATGACTGCAGGAATGGATGTGTATCAGAAATACTTGACCGGAGGAGCGAATTCACTACCGTTCTCGCTATTACTTGGATTGACAAGACAGCGCAAGCGATCAGAAAAATGGCAGAGGCGGCGCATGCGCAGTCTTTTCATTTATCCGAACAGCAAATGTGAATTTATCTTGGTAGCTCAGAGAACTGGACCGGTATTAGTAAAACTTGATTGAGATGACGAACATATAATCGTAACTGGTTAACAGATTTCAGCAAGTTATGATTAGATTCAGATAGTTGCCAGTAAAACCTTATAAAAGTGGCATATTTGCAACTTTCTAGTCTCGCTAGCGTACTTCTTGAGAATTATAATCGATTAGCAAGGCTAATTCGATGGACTGATTTCAAAGAATCTCTTAATTAAACGGGAGGCAGGTTTTTTATATCATCATGATCCATAATTTGGACGTGTTCGGAAATAATATCGTAAGCGGTAATTAGAGCAACTGTCGCTCTAAACATAACACTACATTTCATATTTTCTCATTTAGAAATTTTCTATTTTGTAACTAATCAACACGATAAAAAATGTATCGTACAACAAATGTAATATTAATTGGATGAGATCTCGCAATCTTATCTCCGATCGTGTATGGCGATCTTTGGCTGAGTTCGGCAACGCGCATGTGATTCCATGTAACGGCATGTTACCTATCCACACGGAACATAACGTTCATTAAAAGTTCACATAACTTTCACAGCCTCTATACGACTATTATCTCTGCAGTGAAGGTCAAATAGATCTTTAATAAAGATTTATACTATCTCCATGATGGAGCTCTAATGGAGCTCTACCATTAGACGTTTATGTAGACGTCTTATAGAAGTCATATGGATAAATTACAGATGTTTTATAAAACTTTCATGAATTATATATAGAGTTTAATTGAAAGTTTTAAATCCTTTGTAAATGATTTTTTATTTTATTTTATAATAAAAATTAAAAATATATACGTATAAATAAATTAAAAATTTGCATATATATTATTTATTCAGTCACTGCCTGGAGCTCTGGGCATGCGGACGCGTTGTTGGTGTGCTGCTCGGTGCGAATCGCGCTGCATTCCTGCGCGTGCTTTGTTCGATTTGTGTGAGCAGTGTCCATCCGACAACGCTTAAAGATTGTCCTATCTCTTTAAGGATGATAAGGATGATGGTGCGATCATAATAATTCGAGTTAGCGAAATTAACATTAGTGAGCATATCGGATGAACACGGTATTCTAGCTTTATTTTTTGTATACATTGAGGATGACTCAAACTAGAATCGAAACGTATGTTATGCATTTTTAAATTGTAATAAAGAATGTAAATTGCGCACCGTAAACAGCGCTGATTCTCATTGCCCGTTTACTACATCGTATTTATTCGTTATAGACGTTATCCCAAATAAGAAGGGAGGGCAGGTGTGCGTCACGGCAGGGCCCGACCACGAACCAGTCGTGAAAACTCGTAATTATTTTGACAAAAAAATCCACCTCAGCCAGGAATCGAACCTGGATCTCCTGCTTACCGGGCAGGCATCTTATCCTTTCGACTACCGAGGCATGTGATGATATTTATCGCAAATAACGTGTTTAGAATAACACGTCAACAATACAATGATACATATATATATATATATTACAATATACATATATACATGTATTCTTTCGAATCCCCACGACCGGTACTCCAGAGCGATGTTGGTCTCTCACTCGACAGAAGCTGTCACATTAGTTTTACTCGGATTGAGGACAAGTTATAAAGAAGACATTAAAGCATTCACTGCTGAAATGATCTATGGCACGACACTCAGGATTCCAGGCAAATACTTCATCCCTGGAGAACCAATATAATATCCACATTATTTGCAAACAAATTATGTCAACACATGCAGGCAGTACCAACGAAACATCACACCAAAGGAAAATTTTTCGTACCCCAGGGTACGTTCTGTACGCATGTATTCGTATGGATAGACAGACCAAGAAGACCATTGAAAATCCTTACGAAGGACTTTTTCCTATTATTTCGCGCACTAACGAATCTGTTTTCAGAATCTCCTACAAAAATCAACCGACAGAAATTAACATTGAGCGCCTTAAACCAGCATGGAAGGTGCGACATAGTAGTGGAACAGCTAGCAGAACCACAACCCGGACTATCCGTGCGATTTGCAATCTAAATCCAGATATTTCCGGGCGGAGTACTGTGGCGGCCGCTCGAGAAAAAAATTAGTATAATAGAGGATTTGGAACGAAGTTGGCCAACCTGCAAAAAAGAAGAGACTACCTACCTATCTCACACACTGTCTCCGTGGCAAGTCTAGTCGTCTCCAAAGAAACCTGTGCATAATTATTTGTTGGTTAATAAATTGTTAAAATTATTTAAGAGATTTGGTTCATTGTTCATATAAACCCGCAGTGTAGAGTCCCAATAGAGATTGAAGGATTTCCCGGGAGTTGGAGGTTTGTCGGAGAACCTCTCGTTGAGATATGTTCTCTGAGCTTTCCGCGGCCTCGTCGGAGGAAGAAGGTGAAGAGGCCGGAAACGGAGTTCTCCGAAGAGTTTTCTGATGAGCTTCTTGCGGCGGAAGAGTCTGCACGCAGAGAAGGTATGCTCTGGAATCGAAATGGTGACTTCACAATCAATCGCAGGAGGCTGCCTATTCGGCCGGTCAGTCGGCTTGTGCAGCCGAAGAATGCAGCGTATCTCAAACGAGAAAGCGGCCTTTTCGACCGAAAAGAACGGCATATTTCAACTGGAGGGAAGGTAGCTAACGCTTGAGAACGTTTCACTGTTGCTGATATAACTCTTCTCTATCCTATACTAGAAGAGAGCTCGAAAACGAGTGACGATACGGCGAATGTACGTCTTTATATATTATTTGATGACAAATTTGACTTACGATAATTATCTCGTACTGCGCCGCGTCGCGGCACGCTAATTGTTTGGGTTCGCGACGGGTGTGTCGCGCGCAGTGCGCGGCACCCGTGAGTTGCCACAGAAGCAAAAAAGTTTCAAAAAGAAATTAAATATTTGTTTATTAAAACATTTTACATTCGATGTAAACATTAATAAGACAACATGCATTCATTATAAATTCACAATTATAAATTATCGATATATTTTTTTAGAATAGAAATGTTACAACTTTGATTATGTAAATATAATTTTGTACATACAAATTTTATACCACCATAATGCTAAATTTTATAAATATTATTATTTTTCATGAATCAAAAAAAACTTTTATTTATAACATATATAGTAAAAATTAAATGTAAAAATGTAAAAATTTAATAGCATTCGTTAATTATAACAATTATACAAATTAGATAGCAGAATAATTGCAAACGAACTTAACTAATTTTGCTTCCGTGATAGAGTCTTTATTCTGATTGTTATGTCCGTGTTCTGGACGAAAGATAATATCTCTCGTCAGGAGGAGGAAAACTCGGGTGGACGCACGGAATCTCTCCTGTTCTCGCGGAACGACGTCGTGATGCCGATCCGCGAGTCGAACGCGCGTTAAGGGGGCAGGGATCGGGTCAGCGTCGGCGATGTTATTACCCTTGCCTGCGCCCGCGCTATCGGTGGTCCGTTTTAGGTCAGAGAACCGAATCTCTTTGACCAGGGATGGACCTAGTGCGATCCTCAGGGAGCCGGGAACGGCGCGGGGTCAAGTTTAGGGGAGAGAAAAAAAATTTAAGACCGAATTTTGATTAAATAATTTAATAATAAATAATAAAAATGAGTTACAATGTTCTGTTCGTGTACATTAAAAAGAGTTGAGGTATTCGTTACAAAGAAAAGTCTTATACATAAAAAATATAAAAAATAACCGCGGACAAAGGAAAATCTGGACTTATATACCCAATTGTTCTAATTGGGACAAAAAGTTGGTGATCGCGAGCATGTCTATGGGATCGGATTGCAGGTGTGGAGGGGGATTAGGGTGCGCGGTGCGGAAAGCCTTGATTGGGACGAGGTAGGGAAGAGGATCACGGAAAATATACATAGGGACGGTATCGGTTATTTTGTGTTTGGAGATTTGGTCCCAAAATTGCTTGTCGGGTTTAAATTTTCTTTGGATGAAGAAGGTGCCAGGAGATGGATGGGTGGGAGAGCGAGGAAATTGACGGACGAGGTTAAAAAACTTCTCCACGTCGAAGTTTTCTGGAGTACACTGGTTCTCGAATTCGGCCGCGGAGCGGAGGGCGGAGGCGTACTGATGCAGCGAGATGTTGGCTAGTCCCGGCTCT